AAAAAAATTCCCAGTAAAGGACTCCAGCATTAGATGCTTTTGTGCATATTTCTATTATAACATATACCAATTTATATTGAAATTATCTGTTTCAGTGACCATGTTCTGCACAAGAATGTAAGTTCATCAAAGCCAAAAACTGTATTATTCATTTTTGTTCTCCCAGTACCTGGCAGAGCACCTAGTACAAATTAAGTACTCAACAAATATATACATTATGTGGAAAAATATAAGCAAATATTTTGCCATCTAAAGCCTGAAATGGCAAAAAAAAAAAAAATTGCTATAATGCTGGAAGTAAGGCCATCAAACTAAAGAATGATAATATCTCCACAATGTGTACTAAATTCAACTATATAAACTCAAGAAACTCACTTTCTCTCCAAATTGTTCAATGGTCTCAACTAGAGATGCACAACTGAATCATTCATGGAGTATTTGAAAAATATACTTGCTCTAGAGCCACCACTGTCAAGCTTTCAATATAATAAACCTTTAGTGAGAAAAATGTGTGTGTACACACATGCATGCATGCATGTGCACATCTGGAAGGGGATGCAGTGCAAAGCACACAAGTTTTAAAGAACTATACAAATAATAATCATAACAGGCAATACCACTCTTACACTACTCTACCCAACCCCCCCCCCAACCTCCCATTCATCCCTACTGTGTTTTTAAATCTCTATTAGGAGTTCTCAGCACTAATTACAACAGACTCAGCTGAGCCCTCTGCAGCAGTAATTTTACCACATTGGTTACAGTAGCATACTATATTTCTTTAAAATGGCCACAGTACCTCCCATCCCACAAGCTCTTGGAGAACCTTACCATTCCCCTACCTCCACTAAGAAATGCAACCTAATTCCTGTTCCTTGAATCTATGTAGGCTTTTAACTCTCGACCAACAGAATATGGTGGAACTGATGTTGCCTGACTTCCAATGCTAAATCATAAAAGATGATGCAATCTCTACCTTGTTGACTTAGATACTTGTCTTTGAAGACCTGAGGAACCACGTAAAAAGTGTGCCTACCCTGAGGCCCTCAGACTCTGAGGAAGCCCAGGACACATAGAGAGACTACATATAAGGTATTACAGTGGACAACCTCAGCTGAGGCCCTAGCCAGCACCAACTGCCAGACAGGTAAGAAAATAAGCATCAAGATGTTTCCAGCCCTCAACCACTAAAGAACCCCCAGCCTTTAAGACTTCTCAGCTAAGGACCCAGAAACAACGTTTGTTGTGCCCTTCTGAATTAATGACCTACGGGATCCATGACCATACTCAAATGGTTGTTTTATTCCCTTAACGTGTTGGTGATTTGATACACTGAAACCGTTAACTAAATAGGCAGAGTTTTGATAATTATTAATAAAGATTTATCATTAATCAAAAATAATTAAATTTTGATTCATCTGAAGCTTCACAATTTTTCTTCTGCTCATGTAAATCAGTTACCAAACTGACTCTTGACCATATTCTATTGCTTCAACTATATATTGACATATCTGCCTCCCCTCCAGTTAGCTTCATTTTATTAACCCATTACCTTGAAACTTTATCTTCCTAACATCACCACCACTAGCTCTCACTTCTGTTGTTGTTGTTGTTGTTATGTGCCCTCGAGTCAGACCCGACCCATAGTGACCCCTTCTTGGGTTTCCAAGGTGGCATCACTACGGAAGTAGGTTGCCCAACCTTCCTTCCGAGTGGCTGGTGGGTTTGAACTGCCAGCCTTCTGCTTAGCAGTCAAGTGCCTTAGGCACTACGCTACCAGAGCTCCTAGCTCCCACTTCTAGTTGCCAGAATTTAGTAGTTATTGCTGTTAGATGCTACCAAGTCTATTCTGACTCATAGCGAGCTTAGGCACAACAAAACAAAAACACTGCCCAGTCCTGCACCATCCTCACAATCACTATACATTTGAGCACACTCTGTCGACACTGTGTCAATCCATCTCACTGAGTTCCTCTTTTTCAGTGACCCTCTACTTTACCAAGCATGATATCCTTCTCCAGGGAATGTTCCTTATGGTAACATGTCTAGAGTAAATGAGATGAAGTCTCACTATCCTCACTTCCAAGTAGCATTCTGGGGTACTTCTATCAAGACAGATTTGTTCATTCTTGCAGTTCATGGTATATTCAATATTCTTTGCCAACACCATAATGTAAATGAAAATGAATCAATTCTTTTTCAGTCTTCCCTATTCACTGTCTACCTTTTGCATGCAGATGAGGCAACTGAAAATACTATGGCTTAGGCCAGGTGCACCTTAGACATCTTGCTTTTCAACACTGTGAAGAGGTCTTTTGCCACAGATGTGCCCAATGCAATATGTCATTTCATTTCTTGACTGCTGCTTGCATGGGCGTTGACGGTGAATCCAAGTAAAATGAAATCCTTGACAACGTCAATATTTTCTCTATTTATTATGATGTTGCTATAACTAAAATGGCTTACTTTTATCATTAAAAACTCTGGCCTGATGGTAGTTGTTAAATTATTTCAGGATTGAGGAAAAAAAAAAAAATCCAAGAAAAAAAAACAACTTAATCCTGCTGGTCAAACTTAAATCATACCATTATCTTTTTATAAAAGGCAAAGCAGTAAAGTGATTTACCTATGATACAAAGATAATCTAAAACTATAAATAATAACAACATATTTCATATTTGTCTTTGAACTGCACTCCATGATTTCTAAAACATTTAAATATTTATTTATTTAATATTAAAATTTTATTATATTCTCCAAATAGCTACTAAATGATAGTAGGAGAAAATGAGTAAAAATACTTGGCAAGAAGAAAGAATGAGTTTAGGGAGAATATCCATCAAGAATAATTCACCATCTCAACTGAGAAAGAAACATCAATTACCACTTAATGAATAGTTAACATTAAATAACTGATTCCAGTTTTTATCCATTGACCAAACCAGAATCTCAAATTGATTAATAGTAATAGAAAATTATAATGGTGACAATGTCTAATGAAAACTTAGACAGAAATGTTCATTTTTACATTATTTCCTATTTACATACCTTTTTAAAATTCATAAATAAGAAAACTAGAAACACTGCTATAATTCATGAGTCATAACATTTTCCTATAGCATAATAATGAATAATCAAAAGAAAAGGAGGTCAATAAAAGGCCAGATCTTAAAGAGTCGGCTGCCAATATTATTTTACAGAAACAAATATTGGAGTAATGATGGTTTCTTCATGTTTAACAGTTGATACATTTTATTAACATACAATACTAGTCAGTGCTCTAGGCTAACTTAGGCAATATGCCATGTGGAAGAAAATTCCATTAAAATATCTAAGAATACTGATCCACTGAGATAAATAAAACAAAATTCATTCTTAACAATCCAAACACAGGTTAAGTCATGGAGAAACGTATTTGGCTTATAAAAGTTCTCAGAGATAAAAAATATACAATCAGCACAAAACCATAGCTAAGTGTATAAGCACAATGAAATGCATTTTATGGTTTCTATTTTGCTAACGCAGTTACAGTTAATGGGAATTGCCATGACAAAATTATTGTTTTTATGAAAAGAACCTTATTACTAACCAATCAAATTCCATTTTTATTACTGATGTAAAAAAGTTCAAAACCATGAATCATTTATACAGAGTACAAAAATAAGGAAAGTGTTCAAGAATAGAGTAGAGGATCATTTACAAAGCAATAAAAAATTAAAGCATGCATTTCTCTTACTGGCAAGGCAAATGCTTCTCTTCTACACATAAATGAAGCTGGACTTGCTGAAGATTATATTGTCTCTGAACAAAAAATGAGATGTTTGAATTTTCAATATCTCATCTCCATTTGATATCTTCAGTCCATCTGGTAAGTGCTTATCAAGAAATTTCTAAAATGTTTGAGGAATATTAAGTTTGATGATGGTTTCTTTCAATTTTCACTTACAGATGGAAGGCTTGGGTCCACATTAATAACTCAAAAATCATCACAGAAATGAGACTGACAAATTTTATGGGGGTATCTTTCACAAAAATCTTTTAAGTTAATAACTAAAAAACATAATTTCAGACTATGAAATGACAATAAAACACACCAGAAAAATCAAAGCCAACACTATAGCTAAACTATGGTCTATTTCAAGATCAGAACACAAGCCTTTCAAGTGATCTTAACATAGTATCAAAGTTTCCTAAAAGGTCAGGAAGCATTGCATGTAAGAAATCTGTTTTTCATCCTATTTATAAACATAGTATCATAAAATAAACTAGCCCACACTGTTGTCAACAAAGTGTCTTTGCCTCTAATCTGAAGTATAACATATCTTGTCTTTATTTTGCTTTACCATCTGCCCCTTTAGGTTCAAAGTATAAGTTCATATGTGTGCCAAGGCAACAGCACTGTAGTCTGAGACTACTTATGTAACTAAAATAAATGGGAAAAAAAGTGTCTCTAAAACGTGATAACCAGTTCAATAGCTTCTGCATAATTAATTGCTCAATCTCAGAAAATACTCAGAATATTGAGTAAAAATAACTATGAAAATATCTTTTCAAACTGTAGTCAATGACATGAGACAAGGTATATGTGAACTGCTGCATGGAAAGTGAATTTGCTCTGTAAATCTTCACCCAAATCACAATTTAAAAAAAAAAAGAAAGAAAATATCTTTTCAAAAACAAAAAAACTGAATGCATTGCATTTTCTCAATTATCTGTTGCAGTTACTACCATTAAATATTCTGATGTGAACATGCAAGAGCCTTTAGCATCATTTTATTCATTCTCTCCTCAATATACCCTGTGAATGACAGCATCACTTCTGTATTAAGAAGGCTTTTTAGCTTTTATTTTCTACTTCTTTGAACTCTTCTGAAATGCTTTTAAGTCCAGATTCCCCAGTACTTATATGGAGGAGAGGAAGGATGGAAAACACTTTATTACTGATACTGAAAATATATATTTTTTTTTTTTTTAAACATGCCTGTTTTGATCATACTTACTTTCCAGATGCTTACATACAAATTCCACAGAACACATTCTCAAAACTATTTCCCTAAATCAGACTATAAATTAAGGCTACCGCTAGAATGAAGTTATTAATAAATTTAAATAATTAAGCACCCACATGCTCATAGTGAAATATTCAAGTCTTCTTTTTCCATCCTTTATATAGTTTACTGAGTTTCTAAATAAAGAACAGAAGAGATATTGTCCTGATTTCAAAAGATTAATAAATTATAATATGATGAAATTAACTGAAATGCTTAAAATATACTCACCTCCTCACTTATTGACATGGTTAGGTTCCAAAGATCAGGTTGTTAGGCAAAATCAGTGTCATACAAGGAGGAGGATGACATGGAGGTGGCCCTGGAGCCCAGACCCTTGGAACTGCTGTGCCCCCGGCACCAGTGCACTCTGGACCTCAAGACCCTGTCATCTGGGCTGGCGCTTCAGCAGGCCTATGACCTGGCAGCTGGACTAAAGGGACAGTTCATGGCTCTCAAGTGCAGGCAACCAGTGGGGCTAGGGATCAAAATGGTCAGTGGGGGTTGCGGTTATCCGTGCCCCCTGCAGCCATCACATTGACAGCCCCGCCCACCTACAGTCACCCTGCAGACCAGGGATGACCCCACAGAAACGAATGAGGGAAAGTAACATGCTGCTTGGCCTGGAAGGCTTGGAATCTGAGTCCAAGAGCCTGGAGATTAGCAGCCACTCAAAAGAGTTCAGCATCCCAGGCCACAGAGGAGGGGAAGTGTGGCCAGCTTCTGCTGCAGCCCTCAGGTCCCAAATTACCCCAAATACCCTTCCCACTGCAGGAGTTGGTCTCTCCAGGGTGCTTGAGTAAAAAGGAACAGTAGCTGTAATCTCCCTCACCTCTCCTGGGCCCCTCTCACCACTCACAGGCACTTCTTGGAAGTCTCCCTCAAAATCTGCCTCAGTCACCTCTTTTACATGAAAAGCTGCTATAGTGGCTACTGTGGGGGGGTGAGACTGGCAAGAGACCTTCTGGAGAGCTGGCTGCTTCAGCTGCAAGCCTGACAGACATGGATGGCTTACAGTTCAGGAGTTGGATGTGGAGAGGAAACCTAAGTTAATGTGCAAAAGAGTCAGACTGTGTATTTTTTACTATTGTTGGATAACAAGATAGTAAGTGAGGAGTAGGTATATAGAAAACATTGGTACAAGAAGAAGATATTTGGAAAAGATAGTATAAAAGGAAATAGATATGAAGATGTTTCAGACATTTTCTGCAGTCCAAAATGGTAATGGGATACCAAAAATAAAAAGGTATCACCCTCAAAGGAGGGTGTTAAAAGGAGAAAAATTAAAAGGAAAAAAGTTCTTAGGCAACTAAAAATAGAAAATGCCATGTAGGAGCACTTATTATAATAACACCCTATACAAGCAGCTTACTGTACATTATAAAACATATTATCACCCTTGTAATGAGATAACTGAGTACTAGAAAGGCCTCCCCAGGATCACAGAACAAAAGGGAGAGCAGAGCTTCGAACCCAGATCTATCTTTCTCCAATGACTTCATTCTTAATGGAGTTTCAATCTCATCTACAAATAACTCCTATCTAACCATATTAAACTGTTAATTTTAGTAATTACATACATAAATTATCTAGCACAGTGTCTCGAAAATGGAAATTTACTCTTTTTATCAGTAGCCATCTACTTATCAGCTAAAATCTTAAGCCTATAACTTTTTGGCAATGGCTAATACACAAATCACCACTGAAAACAGCTCAGAGTAAATACACTTACAACCTATACACAAGATTCAATTTTATAATGAAGATAAATATGGCTGGAGCTTATCAAATATATAATCTTGAAATAAATAGCCTAGAACAATTTGTTATGAGTAATTTTAATAACTGTAATAACTATTTTTAGATTTTTATATTAATAAAATAAATTATGCATTTTCTTTAAAAACAGCTTTTTAAAGTTTTATAAAACTTCTATTTGCACACAGGAAGCTGGAGACAAAGTCCAGTAAAAGAGCAAAATTGACAGACAAGCAGCTAAAAATAGCATTAACACTTATTGAGTGCTTACTATGTGCCAGACACATGCCAAGCACTTTATACATTTTCTCATATAATCTTTAATACATACTATTATCATCACCATTTTATAAATTAAGAACAAGCAAGTAGCTGAACAAGAACCAGGTCTGACTCATTCCAAACTCCATAGAAAGTATAAAAGAAAAGTGAAGGAAGCAATGGACACTGTAGCAGATTTCTGCTATTTAGCATTTAGCCCCTCTCTTCGCTTCTTTTGTGTGTTTCTTGTGTAGGGCCCTGGAGCCTGAAGACACTTCAAGCATAAGGATGGGCAAGTGAGTCACATTTGTCCATCACAGTACTCCATATTTTTGGTTACAGTGATCACTTCAAAAAGAGCCCTGGTGGTGCAGTGGTTAAGAATTCAGCTGCTAACTGAAAGGCTGGTGACTCAAACTCACCAGCCACTCTGTGAGAGAAAGATGTGCCAATCTGCTTTCATAAAGATTTACAGACTTGGAAACTCTATGGGGTAGCTCTATTCTGTCCTATAGGGTCACTATGAGTCAGAATCAACTAGACAGCAACAGGTTTTAACTGCTCCAAATGTGGTTGTTGTTGTTGTTGTTATGTGCCGTCGAGTCGGCCCCGACTCATAGCGACCCCTCCTTGGGTTTCTGAGGCAGTATCACTACGGAAGTAGGATG